AATTTACAAAAGTATTATTACTTTAAATAATTTAATTTAGAAAATGCTAAAAATTAGTTGTGGCAAAGCTGCCAACTAAATGATGTTTCTTTTTTTTCGTTTCTTTTTTTTTTTTTTTTATTCCTGAATTTTTTTGAGGATAGCTGGAAAAAGAAAGAAGCATATTTGTCATTTTAAGGTATGATCAAATTAGCATGATGCAATGTTAAATTTAATTAATTTTAGAGATCAAATTAACAAACTAACATCAAAGATGTAATTACAAAAATCGATATCTGGCCCGTGTTCTTTACTGATCTTATCACCTTCTTTTTGTAAATCACCAAAACATTGATAGCGAAAAAGACCAATAGATGCTGGTATAGCTGGACCTTCACTAAATGTTTCAGGCTTTTTTTCAAATGTTCTCCAGGCTATAAAAATTACAAATTTTTAGTAAACAATAACTTTTTTTTTTTTTAAAAATACAATTATTAAATTGAAAACTAATAAGGATTAATAATATTTTTTTTAAACAAATTAAAAAATTATTAATTTTTTTTTAAAAATTGGTAGAAAAAATTAATAATAAAGATAAAAATTAAATAATGTTTTTTTTTTTAAACAAATTAAAAATTAATTTTTTTTAAAAACAAAATTATTAAATTAAAAATCAAAAAAATATCTGTAATATTGCTTATCTATATATTAATACATTCTACAAAAGTATTTAAAGTTTATCAGTTAAGATATTCATATATGTATTTGATATCAGTTAATGAATTAATTTTAACCTGGTGTAAGAAGAGAAATGAGTGTAAAGATCATTGTTAAAGCAACAGTAATACCAAATGCAATACGACCAATATTTGATTCCTTCATCATCCACACCTGACTTTATTACAATTATCAAATGATATGATATAATTGAATTTTAATTTTTTATATCTTTTTAATTCTTTTCTTTTTCATTTTTACATCTTTTTTTTTGAATAATAATGACAATTATTATAATTTTAATTAGGAAAAGATAAAAATATATCATTTTGGAAACATGAAATTGAAAAGTATGCATCATCCTTTTTGGACTATAAAAATTAAACTACAGTAATTTTAACTATATTATACATCAATATGTATCACTAATATGTATCATTTTTGGAGTATAAAAATTAAACTACAGTAATTTTAACTTATATTATATATCAATATGTATCACTAATATGTATCATTTTTGG